GGGAAGAAATAAAAGGAAAGGATAAGAAAATAAGGAAGGGAGGAGGGAGGGAAGAAGTAGAGAGGGAGGGAGGAAAAATGATACTTCGAACTTGATTCTTTTATCTTTCAGCCCCATAATTCTATTGCAGCACCATAATTCCATGCAATTAAAAAGGTAGATGTCTATAGTGAGCCAGCATCTCTATCCATGGTAACACTATAATAGCCAAAAGAGCATGGAATCTCCGGGCGTGGAGGCAGGTGGATCTCTGTGAGTTCAAGGCCAGCCTGGTCTATATAGTGAGTTCCAGGACGGCTGGGCTACAGGGAGACCCTGTCTCAAAAAGACCAAAAAAAAAAAAAAAAAAAGAGCATGAAATCATGGGAAGGAGGGCATGACATTATCTTAGTTCATGAGTCTGTACTTCGCATGCTCATAGAAGCAGCCATAGAATCATCTCAGAGAGGGACATGACAATCCTTCAGTTTTGGCAGTCTCTGTCCTCTTAAGTTGAAGCCCCTCACGAGCTTGCCAGCTGTTTGCTAGTCACTTAGAATTGATTTGAGGACTACACTCACTCTCAAATAGCCACATGCCCAACTTCCTCAGCATCAAGAGCCACAGCTCTCTCCAAGTTCTAGATGACAACAGAGATGCTTCTAGGGATGGCTTGCAAGGTGATCCCATCTTACTGTGAATTATTTCATCCCACAGTCATTATCAATCATGGTGTCCCCAGAAATTCATGTGCATGGAGACCCTTGGGATCCAACTCTGAGGGTGGTGTCCACAGATTTAATCAAGCTGCTATGAGGCTCTGCTGGATTAGGCTGGGCCTGAATCCAGTGACTGGCTTTCTCCCTAACAACACAGAAAGCCAGCCATTGACGATCAAGATCAATCTTACCCATGAGTAGAGATGGGGATAATGCAATTACAAGCTAAGCAATGCCAAGGACTACCAGTAGCCACCAGAAGCAGGAGTCAAGGAAGGATCCTTCCCTAGAGCCTTAGGAGAGAATATGGCTCTGAACATACCTTGATTTCAGACTTGTAGTCTCCAGACCCAAGACATGATGACTTTCAGAATTTTTTTTTTTTGGGGGGGGGTCTCACTATGTATCTCCAGAACTCATTATATAGACCAACTTGGCCTCCAACTCATAGAACTCTTCCTTCCTCTGCCTCCCAAGTGCTGGGATTAAAGGTATATGCCACCAGGTCTGTCTGAACTTTCTGATGTTTAAACAACCTAATTTATGAAAAAAAAATGCAGATGGTAACTGTTCCCCTAAAAAGAGGTAAGTACTGGGCTGGAGAGATGGCTCAGCGGTTAAGAACACAGGCTGTTCTTGCAGAAGATCCAAGTTCAAATCCCAGCACCCATATGGCAGCTAACAACTATCGATAACTCCAGTTCCAGGGGATCCAATAGCCTCTTCTGTCCCCTTCTGTCAGGCATTGCATGACACAGGTAAACTTACCTACGTGCAGGCAATACACACATACACGAAAAATAAAAATAATAAATAAAGTATTTAAAAAAAAAAAAAAAAGATGAGTACTGGGCAAAGGGTGTACTTGTGGAGGTCAGAGGTTAAATCATGTCACTTCTCTCCATCCACCATGCGAGTCCTCAGGTCATCAGTCTTGGAAGCAAGTGCCTTTACTTGTTGAGCCATTTGAGCACCCAAGATTTTATTTATTTTTGCTATGGTTTCCCCCCCCCCCCCCAGTGTCTCCCTGTAGCACCAGGTGGCCTGGAACTCGCTACGTGGACCAGGCTGGCCTCAAACATAGAAATGAGCCTACCTTTGTCTCCCCAGTGCTAGGATTAAAGGTATATGCCTTTTTTTCTTTTTTTGTGGTCTTTTTTGATACAGGGTCTCCCTGTAGCCCCAGCTGGCCTAGAGCTCACTATGTAGACCAGGCTGGCCTTGAACTCACAGAGATCCACCTGCCTCTGCCTCCCGAGTGCTGGGACTAAAGGTGTGCGCCACCACACCAGGCTAGGTCTATGCCTTTAATCCAAGCCTAGCTAAGATTTTGTTTTTAATTATGTGTGTATGTGTGTGTGTCTACATGTGGTAAGTTCACATTAGTACACATGCCCTTGGAGGGCAGAAGAGGATGTTGGATCCCCTGGAGCTGGTGTTATAGGTGATCAAGACCTGAAATGGGTGCTGGGAGCTGAGCTCAGGTTCTCCGCAAGAATAATATGTGCTCTTAACCACTGAGCTATCTCTTTAGCCCCTCATTTCCATTTTAATGAAATATTGAAGTACTCAGAATGACCAAGGAACCAGAGAATCTGGACACAACATACCTTGTCCACTCTGTTTTACATACCAGAGTTAAACAGAAGGGAGAATGACCTATCCAAGGTCATTTGGTAAGTACACAGTAGAAGTTTAAGTTGAACTCAAGAATCTCCTATGTCTTGATTTCTTCTGCTTCCATCCTGTACAGGCCAACTACCTGATAGCTCTATCAGAAGGAAGTCTCTGGTAAATTGGTAGAGCGCTTGCCTAGCATGCACAAAGCCCTGGGTTCAATTCCTAGCACTGCATGAACAGAGTATGGTGGCACGTGCTTGTAATCCTAACACTTGGGAGATAAAAGCAAGAGGATCAAGACTTCAAGGTCATCCTCAGCTACATATCGAATCTGAGACCAGCCTAGCCCAGGATCCATGAGGCTCTCTGTCTCAAAATACAATCATTTAAAAAGGGCATCTCTGAAAACACCTAGTGTCAACTCCATGGAGATCTCCAAAAACGATGATGGGAATGGCTTTAGACTCAAAGAATGCTGCAACCTCCTTTCTTTTCACAAACCAAATGAAGTAAGATGGTCATTCAACTAGAATCCAAATAAAAACCCAGCCAGACAAGCCACAGAGGCACTGTCCTCAGCATGTCCAGTGAGCCTCATGCAAGAGGTGCTAGGTTCTGCATTTTGTCTACGCCCTTGCCTTGCCAGGCCTTCATACCAGCCAGGTGGCCAGCATGAACCCAGTCTCAGACAGCAATTGATAATGAGAAGAAAAGAGTAGAAGGGGTCACCTCTCATACCTAGAAAGGAATATGGCCAGTCAAGAACCAGGAACACTACCCAAAAACATCACACACAGGGATGCTTTTTAAAGTAAAAAAAGCATTGCAGAGCCAGGCGTGGTGTCCCACAGCTTTGTTCCCAGTACTCAGAAAGCAGGGGCAGGTGGATCTCTGAGAGTTCAAGGCCAGTCTGGTCTACATAGTGAGTTCTAGGACAGCCGGGGCTACAGGGAAACCCTCAAAAAAAAAAAAAAAAAAAAAAAAAAAAAAAAAAAAAAAAAAAAGAAGCAAATTTCCTTTCCAGATAAATGCATTTTTAAACCATTTATAATATATTGGGGACTTGACACTATTAGTTTGATGGATAAACATTGAAAAAGCAGTGTACCCATGCAAACTCAACATATAGCTGCCTAAAGAAGACTTGTATAACAACACCACCAGCTGACACACCAATGTGAATGGAGAAATTTCACATCTTCTAGATGAAGAGTTACAGGCAGTCAATGGCTGCTGAGGCGGGGAGAATCAGTGTTCTCTAGGGAGGAATTAGTTTCCTGACAGGTTATCCAATCCCAGGTACTCAGCTCTAAACGCATGTATACACTAGCAACACTAAATAGATTCAGTAAGTTGTGAGTATGAGGTGTGTTTGTGTATCTGTGTGTAATATATCAATTAAAGGAGAAAAAGTCATGAAATTGAGAGGGAGCAGGGAGGCACAGGAGGAGTCGGTGTGGGGAGAGGGACAAGTGGAAAGGATATTGATACAGTGCTTTTGTATGAAATTCTCAAAAATTCAAAAATTTAATTATAAAAAAGCCACATGACAGAATCCTACCATTTCCTTTAGGAAAGGAAACATCAAAAAATGGATGTAGAAATGGATGTGGGGCAAAGAACCTCACACGTGTGATGCTCTGGGTTTCATCCAGTACCTCAAAAATAAACAAATAAAGGTGAGGTACACCTGGACTAGTGACTCTTCTGTTCAATGTTTCCCTTTCCTGCTGGTCTCTGACAGGCTACCTGACTGGGGTGTCCTCCCTGTTCTGGTCCACCCCAGCCCTAGCCCACTCTGACCTCCTCCCCCCAAAACTTTAACCCTGGTGCCTGAACTCTTTTATGGCAGAGCAGTGACAATATTTTTAAGAGATTTGGGGTGGGGGGTCTTTTTTTTTTTTGAGACAGGGTCTCCCTGTAGCCCCAGTTGGCCTGGAACTCACTATAAAGACCGGGCTGGCCTCAAACTCACAGAGATTCACGTGTCTCTGCCTCCCAAGTGCTGGGATTAAAGGCGGACACCACCATGCCTGGCAACAATATTTTTATAATCCAGGACCAGCACAATGTTGCCTAAACAAACTACCAATTTCTGAGGAAGAAACCTCAATTTCCAACCCTGGAAGGCAGAGTGTGCCGCTGGCCTATTCAGACACTGGAGCTAGAGGTCTACATGCCTCACAGCCTCATACTACAGTCTTAGCAATGCTGCAGGAGGCAGTTGAACACAGTACCTGGCAGGCACCCTGGCATCTCTCCCTGATCCTTATCCCAGCTCTGCCATCTACTTGCTTTGTGACCTCAGGGAGGGCTCATAGCCTCAGGCTGCTATATTGTGCCCCCATTCAATAGCCATGGAGAAGGGCACAGGGAGGTACGAGTAGCTCACATGACACAGTTACATGCTTCAGGGAACCAACCCAGAACAGCATGGCTCCCTGAACAAGAGGCAGAAGTTTGTCTCCTAAACCCAACAAAGCACGGCTGCGGCACACAGAAAACACTCGTAGCAAAGCCTTCAGATTCCAAGTAGCAACAAAAAAGTTGCTGTCACCCACAGAGATAACCTTGACCCAGAGGTCCCTCTGCAGCTTGCCTAGATAGTGCCCGACCCCCAGCACCTGAACCAACCAACCCCAGAACAGCCACCTGGAGCCCCATCCTTACCCTCTTACCTACCTTCACACCCTCCAGCAGGGCCTGGGGGTCTTCAATGCCCTCGGGGACACACTTTTTGTTCTCTGGGAGAGATTCAAGTTTCTCTACCAGGGCTTTCAGACCCTTCAGTTCAAACTCAGTGAGATGGGTCCACTTGGTAGAGACCTCAGTGGTAGGGGAGCCTGAGGGCGTCTTGGGGTAATCTACGGGCATTGCCGTGGACTTAATGCTTTCTTCCGACTCGTTGGACAAAGTCCTCTTGAGGAACTTCGTGGAAGAGGCTTTGGGCTTCTTTCCTGGGTTCTCCTGATCCTCAGAGGGGATACTGGTGGGTAAGGCAGGGCCATCGGTGGGTGGTTTGGGTGTCTTATCTGTACCACCCCCCTCCTCTTCCTTCTCCTCCTCCTCCTGGGGCTGTTGCTCACAGGATTCCTCCTCCATCTCCAACCAGGAATCGGATGAGAAGCCGTCTATGCTGGCTTTTCTCGGGGCATCTGTGGGGAATCATAAGACACAGCTATGATCACTTAACCCCTGCTGGAAGTTCTGTAGACTCCATTCACACCCCTCACTGCAGAGAGCAAGGATCTGGCTAGCCTAATGGTCCAGGCCTCCTGGCCTGTAGAAAGTCTACAGTCAGTCATGCACAGAGTTCCAACTCTGCTTTTCCCAGCTCTGTGCACCTACACAGGTTGCTTTACCATTCAGAATATACCTGGCATTTTACCATATGTATAAAAACCAGTCAAGGGTAGGTGAGATGGCTCAGTGAGTAAAGTCATTTGCTACCAATTCTGAGGACCTAAGTTCAATTCCCATGACACACATGGTGGAATGAAAGAACTCATGCAAGTTTTCCTCTGACCTAAACATGCAGTGTGGCAGTCCCATGTGCATATATTCACACACACACACACACACACACACACACACACACTAAGTATAATTTTAAAAAAAACTTTAGAGCTGGATATAGTGGCACACACCAGCACTTGGGAGGCAAAGGCAGGTGGAGCTCTATGAGATGGAGGCCAGCCTGGTTTACATAGTAAGTTCCAGATTAGCTGGGGCTACAGGGAGACCCTGTCTTAAAAAAAAAAAAAAAAAAACACAATAACATAAAAATCCGTCACAAATATTATAGGATTCTATTCACATGAAATATTCCTAACAGTACAGAAACCCATAAAGACAGAAAGTAGACTGGTAGTTGCCAAGGGCCGGGGAGTAAGGAGAGATAAGATGACAGCTTAGGGGACGGATTTTTTTGAGGGGAGTGATGAAAATGTTCTCAAATTGATAATTCAGTGAATAAACTGAAATTTACTGAATTATCCACTTTTTTGTGGGGAGGATTAATAGGGGTAAAATATAAAATAGTCTTGCTATGTAGCCCTGACTGGCCACAAACTTGCAGATGTCTTCCCTCCTCAGCCTCCTGAATGCTGTGATTATAGGCATGTGTCACTATGCTTGGACCTAGTTATCACTTTGAGTGGATATGATATGTGAACTATATCCAAGTAGTTTTAAATTTCTATTTATCGTTTTGGAGACAGAGTCTTACTATGTAGAGCAGGTGGACCTTGAACTCAGAGATCCACCTCCCTCTGCCTCCTGAGTGCAAGCCCGACTGCAGAGGCACATTTCTTTTTTTTTTTTTTCCTCAATATTTTATTTTTTTTTCATTTTATGTATATTCATGTATTGCCTGCACATAGGTAAGTGCACCCATGTCTTGCAGTGCCCACAGAGGACAGAAGAGGCTGTCGGATCCCCTGGGACTGGAGCTACAGACAGTTGTTAGCTGCCATGTGGGTGCTGGGATTCGAACCCGGGTCCTCTGCAAGAACAGCCAGTGTTCTTAACCACTGAGCCATCTCTCCAGCCCCCCAATAGAGCTTTTTTAAAGGTGGGGACATAGCACAGTGGTAGAGTCTTCTCAACACATGGGAGGCAGAGGCAGGTGAATTTCTGTGAGATTGAGGCCAACCTAGTATAGTGAGTTCCAGACCAGCTGGGGCTATGAGACCCTGTCTCAAAAGACCAAAAAAAGGGCTGGAGAGATGGCTCAGTGGTTAAGAACACTGGTTGTTCTTGCAGAAGACCCGGGTTCGAATCCCAGCACCCACATGGCAGCTAACAACTGTCTGTAACTCCAGTCCCAGGGGATCCAATACTTTCTTCTGACCTCTGCGGGCACTGCACGACACAGGTGCACTTACTTATGTGCAGGCAATACATGCATACACATAAAATAAAAATAATAAAGTTAAAAAAAAAATAAGGCCAAAAAAAAAGTATGTATAAGGCAGGAGATGTAATTCAGTTGGTAGTGACTGCCTCGTACGCACAAAGCTCTGGGTTCAATTCCTGGCACCATATAAACCAGTATAGTGGCAAATATCTTAAATCTCAGCACTGGGGAGATAGAGGCAAGAGCCTTGCTACATAGGGAATTTCAGGCCAGCTGGGGCTACCTAGCAAGACTCTTTCTAAAAAGACTCCAGCAAAACATTGGTTCAGAAACCCTGAGATCACAAAAGAAAAGTCCAAATGAAAGGAAGGAAAAACGACTAAATAGGGGTGGGGAAAGAGATTTAAACGCTGGAAACTACAGACGAAATCACACATACACTAAATATGAAATGGACCAATCTCATGTTTGCATCTTTTTTGTTGTTGTTGTTTTTTAAAAAATATTTTATTTATTTTTTTATTTTATGTGTGTGTATTGCCTGCATGTAGGTAGGTGCACCTGTGTCGTGCAATGGCCACAGAGGTCAGAAGAGGCTGTCGAATCCCCTGGGACTGGAGTTACAGACAGTTGTTAGCAGCCATGTGGGTGCTAGGATTCGAACCCAGATCTTCTGCAAGAACAGTCAGTGTTCTTAACCACCGAGCCACATCTCCAGCCCCACATCTTGTTTTTTAAAAACATTTCATTTATTATTTTTATTTTATGTATATGAGTGTATTGCCTACATGTATGTAAGTGCACCCATGTTGTGCAATACCTGCAGAGGTCAGAAGAGGGTGTCAGGTTCCCCTGGAATTGGAGTTATGCATGGTTGCTAGTTGCCATGTGGGTGCTGGGAATTGAACCTGGGTCTTCTGTAAGAGCAGCCAGTGCTCTTAACTGCTGAGCCATATCTCCAGTCCCATGTTTGTATCTTGTGATAATACATAACATCAGTTAAAACCCCTCTGAACTACCAGCTCCTGGACACAGAGATGAAGAATCCATCGTTCCTACACACTGCTCAGGGTTCACTGTCACTGCCAGATGCAACCTCGGGGTAGAGACATCTATGAGTCACGAGACTGGTGGTGGTGAGTTCCTTTAAAAAAATTATTTTTTATCATATGTATATGAATATTTGCTTACATGTATGTATGTGCACCATGTGTGTACAATGCTCATGGAGGCCAGAAGAGGGCATTGGGTCCCCTGGAACTAGAGTTACCATGTGGGTGCTGGCAACCAAACCCAGGACCCCTGCAAGAGCAGTCAGTGTTCTTAACCAATGAGCCATCTCTCCAGCCCCTCTTGGTGTCCCTTTAAGTACCCTCAGCAGGAGAGCACACTACAGCTGAGGCTCTAAGCATTTTCCCTGCCTCAGAAACCCACTGCTTCTCCAAGCCTATTTTGCCAACTCTAGCCACCCCTCCCATAGGTGTAAAGCAGGCCTAGGTGGTAGGGACTGGCTACATCATACAGACCTGCTCCTGTGGGAATAAAAACCCAACTTCTGGGTGTTGTAAGAAAAATCAGCTGGTAACTACAAAGCAACCAAAAAGAGCCTCAATTCTTTGTTCTATGGGATGGTTCCGTTTTAGCAACCATAGTGGTGACAAGCTCCTCCATGCATTTGTACAGTCATTGGGGACAAGTGATAACTGTTATTGAGGGCTACAAGCTCCTTTTCTTGGCTTCTGTGCTACAGATGGGAGGTTCATAAGCATGGCTTCCCCATGAGGGGGGTCTCTAGGACTCTGTCCAGCACTCTGGCTCAAAAGAATCCCTGGGACCCAGGATCACCCACAGGCTCCATGAAAAGGAATTCTGTGCTGGCTGAGTGGCTACTTCTGGGCTCAGTGCAGGTCACTCACCAATAAGCATTGATTCTCTCTGGTATTCCTGAGTGAGGTAGGAGCGCTGGGTCACACAGTACACGTATCTCTCCAAGACATACCAGCACATCTCATAGTAGAAAGGGTAGCGGAACTTGGGCTGAACCTGAAAGCAAAAAGCAGGCAGGCAGAGATCAGTTTCCAAGGACAATGGGGAGAGACATGGTAGGGTGGTAGGTTCCCTGAGGCAGAGGTCATCATCATCTTAGCAAGAGCACAAATGGCAGAAGGGAAAAATGGGAGGTGTCACTGGCAGGAAGGCAAGAGGGAGGCCCGGAAGGTGCGGGGTGCCAGCAGCATGCACAGATGAGGCAGAGGAGAGGCCTGTGTGAGGGCATCACTTCATTCGTCCCTGAGCTACCTGCCCTGAAAGATAAACAAGGTCCACTGTATGCTTCTGTGAGATGCAGGAAAACAGAGTTCTCCCCTGACCTGCTGCCAGCACCATGGATACCTGCAATTGGGAGCTGTAACAGACACACACTCCTTATTCTAGAATACTCTTGCATGGACTGCTGTCTCTCCCATCCTCTTGAAAAGCAGAAGTCCACCTGAAAATCCTTACCCATCAGCAGACAGGCTACCAAACATCTTCCTGTACTCTGGGAAGAAGGCCAGGAAGGGAGGACCTCAGGATGGGAATGTGATCTCAGCTACCTCCAAAGGTAGGCTTGCTACCTCAGAAGTATCCTGCTCCCCCTCACAAACAGTTGCAACACCTCCCTGTGTTCCACCAAGGGCTCCCCAGGACATAAGTCCCTAATGTGATCAAGGTGAGTGAGACATCCTGTCATCAGGGGACACACCTGAGTCTGGAGGCAGAGTCTAACGGAGAGCTCCTCTTGGCCATTTCTTACAGATGAAGAAGCAAACACAGAGGCACATCTATGAAAATGTCTGGACCCCAAGGAAATTCTGATGGATGGTAGTGCAGGGGCTATACAGGGGAACTAACAGTGAAGGAAGGAAAAGGGTAATACCATCACCCTGGCATCAGTATGGAGGAACCTTCTAGAAGCTGCATCCTGAGTGGGCAAGAGGGCAGTGAGGATGTGGTAGGGTGCCCTGGTCTCACGCCATAGAACTGCACAGTGAATCTTGCACATTCATACACACCTGCTCAGTTCTCTTTCTCTTTTGCCAAGGGTGTGTCTATGAAGGTCAGAGACCCCCTCCTGACTTTTCCCATCCTTCAGCAAGCATTCCCAACTCCTAGCTGCCCCTTCTCTGCTAACAGTATGCCATGACATGGTACCTTTGGGACAAAGATAAATAAAAACAGACCCAAGTTCTCCATTGCCTAAAATACATTTTCCTGTTATTGTCTAAGTGCCCAATTGGAAAAGCCTCCGGTCCTGTCTTGATTCCTCATCTACTTCTGCTAACTTGTTTTTCACCTTTTGGGCTCTTTTCCCCATTTCCAGGGCTTCACCTCTTCTACCTGTGCACTGGGTCCATTTGATCTCCCTGCCTCTGGCGGATGACGTGCTTAGGAATGAGATCATGGTCGCCGCATGCTTTCCAGCTCCTTGGGGGAGATGCATGAAGTTGGGATCATAATCGAGCGTTTTCCTTGGCTCCAGCTACTTTCTGAGAAGCCCAGTTTCACTTCTGGGGTACTGTGACTTTTTTTCATAATTACTGATCAGAGTCCCCTGGAGTTTATGAAAGAGGGGGGCTTTGAGTATGAAGCACACCCTGACCTCCTGTGAAGAAGTGACTGGGGGAAGGGGCTCAGCCCCACCCCTATTCCAGAGAAAGGGCCAAATGATTTTGAAACAAATTGCCAATCCCTCAATTGCAAGCTGAGGAAAACAGACCCTCATTCACAACTCCCAACAGTAGACTTGACTGATAAAACACTTTGATCTTCATTTTGACTTTTCGAATTTTTGGACACTATACAGTCTACTACACCACTGATGGGCATTGTGACACCCAAGAATCCTAGATTGGGGGGAAAATTGGAGAGGGGGGCTGCATTTCAGGAGAGGAAGACAAATCTCCCCTCTTTGTTGCTGAACCCAAGGGAAACTAGCCGGGTGAAAACAAATGCTAATGAAGGAATTCAGTCTTTTTTTTTTTTTTTAATTTTTTTTTCCAAGAGAGGATTGCAGGAAACAAAATTTGCAAAAATTGACTTACAAACAGGTTGTCGCCTTCCACCCTTCGCCTTCAAAAGGTTTCAGCCACATGCCTGGGAACATTAAACACACGATTGCTCAATATTATTTGGTGACAAACCTGGAGCCTCACCAAATTGAGTTGTTAACCGACCTCTGTCCAAAACAAAGGCAAGGCAGTCACAAAGCAGGCCCTGCTGGCAGCCTCGAGGACCGTTAATCAACAGTGGATCTCAAGGGTTCAATTTGAGTTCCAAGGGCCCATTTGAGTGGCACCTGGCCTGAGCCCTTCCTCAGAGGCACAAGTCATCCAAGAACTAAACAGCCTTTGGAAGAGAGCTGAGGAGGTCTCTGTTCACCTAGAACACCCAGGTCTTAAGAATCGGAAAAATGAAAACATGAGCGTGGGTGGAAGCACCTCAAAATTTTTCTCCTGGAAAAAAAAAAAAAATCAATGGAAAAAATAAAAATCCAATGGTAGGGGGAGGGGAGAGGGAAGGTAAATTATTTGCAATTTCCAAACAGATTCACTGGCTGTGAAAGGAGGGAGGAACAGGGGTGCCGGCATTACCTTTTCTGGGAAAGCTGTTTTCACTAGAGCCATTAAGGAAAAAAAAGATAAGCATAAGAAAAACAGCAGTTTGATGAGTGATCATTTGGACCTTCCTACTCTTTCTTAGCTAGCTGCAGTAAAAGGCATGTGATTGTTGTGACAGAATCTTAAAGGAAGCATGAAGCAATTCACTCTGATCAAGCTCTCTCAGCTCTCATCTTCAGAGTGGGAAGTTTCATCTGCACAGGAGGATTTGGAAATATGTTGGTCCCCAAAGGCCTGCACCTGTTCACACTGCCTTACAGTGCCCATGACACTGCAGAATGAGGTCACCTAGCTTCCTACTACACCTGAGAGAATCTTAGGCTCCTGGTCTGGACGGGGACCCCCATCTTGAGGTTTCTGGTGTGGATGGGGGTCCCCCACTTTGAACCATAAAGGAAAATTCCTTTTCTAAGTCAAACCCAGATCCAAGGGCTCACAAAAGGTCAGTTCCCTCTGCCTTGCCTCCTGTATTTAGTTTCTGACCAAAGCCATGCTTTAGAACTCTGGGAAAATGGCCATATCCTTCTTAAAGGAGCTCATGGGGTGTGGGCGGGGGGGCGGGGGGAATTGAGCTATAGTGAGTTGACACATAGTTGACACATAGTCTTGGCATTTTACTTGGCTTCCAGGACTTTCCCAGGCACCTTTTTTTGGTCTACTTTGGCTTCTAGGACATAAACAATTGGGCCTTGTAGTCAAACCCTTTTCCAAAGATCAGATTTTAAAAGCCTACTGCTGCTTGCAACCCAGCCTGCCCCCTACCCACCACCTACCCACCCCCGCCCCTCAAGCCAGCAACCCATTTCAGGGAAGCCAGATGGGTGCCCACTCAGAGACTAGGGAAAGGGGCCTTGGGGGAGGGGCCGATATGCATCTTGATATGGTGAGATGCTTCTCCAGAGCACACTGGCTAGGGAGGCAGACGAGGGGAGTGTTTAGTCCCTCCATTACCCTGATTTCTGTCTTGAGTGACTCCAGTGGGGGAGGGGAGCCAGGCTCCTATAGGGAATGATGGGGCTCAGATGCTCTGAGATTCCCATGGGAGGGGACAGCTACCCAGCAAGTGGCCAAAGCCTTTAGAAATCCCCAGCTGATTCTGGCTTTCAGGGATTGCTTGGAAAGTCTGGGCCTGAATTCTCCCTCTAGAGTGCTCAGTTTCCACCCACACCTGCTGGTCTGCTGCTCACAACAAACTGGCCAGTTCTTCAGGGCTGGCCAAAGAACAGTTGGCTGGAGCCCAGACTTCATTTGACTGAGACTGAGAAGTGACCATTTGTGCCCAAACAGTGCTTTCTCCTGAATAACACAGGACACATGCTCCAGACCAGGGCTGAGCAGACCTTTTGAACAGATGGTGTGGTGAGTGGGTGACAGAGAGAAGGGAGGAAGAAGTCCTGGAAACAAGGGGTCTGCACAGGATTCTGGACTAGGCTTGGGCATCACAGACAGCAAATCCACCAACTGGAAATGTAGGCATGTTCTGGGAGCATCAGAGTTTCCTCACTTTGACTCGGGTGTGTGATTTCATGAAAACCTAGACCTAAATTGGAAAGATAGATTTGGACCAGAACAGCATGAGATATAGAATCCAAGATATCAACACCTCTCTGGGGCCAAAAAACAACACCTCTGAGGCAAATCCCAAGAAGAAATGGTAAATGGTCTGTTCATATAATGGAGTTCTAGTCAGTCCTAAGAACTAACATGCTGACATATGCTATAACATGGATGAACCTCATACTAAGCGAAAGAGTCAGGACATAAAATGCCACATATTATGATTCCATTTATAGTAAATGTCCAGAACAGGCAAACTCCATAGAGACAGAAAGTAGATTTACGGGCTTCCAGGGTTGGAGGAAGAGGGAGAAGGGAATGACTGTTAATGGATACGGGGGTTTCTTTGAGGGATGAAGAAAATGTGCTGGAATAAGTGGTGATGGCTGCATACTAAAAAACAGAATTGTATACTTCAAATGGTGAATTTTAGGTATGTGAACTAGTTTTCAGTTGAAAGAAATATTTAAATGGCCACATAAAAACACATAGAGGAAGGAGGAGAAGAAGAAACAGGCCCTCTCTGCCCCATGGCTACAGTTTCTGACCCTAGAGCCTGTCTCAGACACGGGGTCAAGCCATGGCATAGGAAAGAGGGTGGCAAAGTCCCAGGCATCAAAGGTACTCAGGGAATACCCCTGGAGCAGAAGGCACACATCACCCTTGACCTAGGGATGCAGAGAAAGATTTGATAGCTAAGAAACCATCACTTCAACTGTCATTGAGGAGGGCACAGGGAAGCCTTGGCCCCAGAGACACTAGCTCAGAGATGGGGACCAGGAATCAGACACAGGCTTCCTTTCCATCAAACTTTAATTTCCCAGGGGAATACACAGCAGAAACCTGACCTTGGACCATGCTGGGCCTCTTTCCAAGACCCCCACCACTTGCAAACATCAGCAACAAGAACAACATTCCTGAACTCCATACCCCTTTCTATTTCTACATGTACAAAGATAGATTCCTGATGCCTCATGCTGCTCTCTCAAGATGTAGATACATAGATACGTCCTCTTCCACAGGGTTTATTCTTTCTTTTCTTTCTTTTTGGAGAGAATGTAGCTCAACTTCTAACTGTCTATGTAACCAAGGCTGGTCTTGAACTCCTGCTACTCCTGCCTCTACCTCCCAAGTACTGGGATTACAGGTGAGCACCATCATGCCCATTTTTCCAAGGTGTTTTGCTTGCTTCCAACCAGAAGGTTAACAGAAACTACAGGGACTTGGGGGGAGGGGCTTTTGTGGTTATCCCCCATCTCCCTGCAGAACCAGGACCAATGCCCCAGTTTGAGACAGGGAGAAGAAGTTGGTAGGGAACTGGAGCAGCTTTGAGACGGTCCAGCACACCCCCAGGAGAGAAGGTGCTCCTTACCCGGGTTCTGTCCTCAATCTCGTAGATGCGCAGCTGCATGGGCACGTTGAAGCTGTGCAGGATGTTCCCGCCGAACACCAGGGAATCAACAGGGGTATACACTGCGTGGATCCAACCTAGTGGGAAGGGCAAAGAGAAGATGAGCTCCAGCCCCTCTCGCTGGACTGAAGGGAGGGAAAGACAGCACACAGGAGGGCACGGGGGGGCCAATGTACAAGGCTGCCTGATGAAGACACCAAGGCTCCTGAACAGCCTGAGTCAAAAGAGGCAGGGCCCAGTTGCAGCTTCCATTCTGAGCTAGGAAGCTGGAGGCCCCCTCCTAGGATGTACCTCCATCCTCAGCCTTTTCCTAATCATTCCTTTGAGCACTGTTCACAGGGGGGGTCATATGGGACAGTTCAGAGTATGACTACAGAGTGATATCCTGTCAGTCAGAGACACTTTTTCAGGTAGAGCACACCTTGTTGGCATCGAGTCCTCCCAGGCCCATTTTCGGGTGATCTCTTAGCCACATGATGCCTGTACCCCACCTTGGCTTTTCTTCCACTCTGTACCCAATGCTAAGCAGTGCAGCAGCCTCCTTCCTACAACTTCTTAGTGGTGTGGGCCACACTTACTACTTCCCCAGACATACTCCAAGTACTCGCCAGGCTTCAGCATATTAATTTTCACGGAAGTCCTACAAAGAACATGCTGCAATCACAATTTGCAGATGAAGAAACTGAGGCATGCTAAAATGAAGTCATCTGTCAGGATTTTGACTCCAGTATGTTAGCCTCTGGTCTGTGAAGACTTTATTCAACAAGCAAATATCATCTCTTCATTGAGATTAGCCATGCTGCCAGTGCTGCAGAGACCCACGTGGCACCTGGATGCAGAGCTAAGGGATATACAGCTTTATATTAACCCCAATTTGCAGGTGCTGAAACAGGCACAGAGGAGAGTCACTTGCTGAATGAAGGTGCAGCTGGCCAAGGAACAATTTTCTTCAACAGGATTCTACAGTGCCCTGGAGGTCCAGGGGACAGGCATGAAAACACGCCTGGAACGCATGTTCCAGGAGGAGAAACATGGGACAAAAGCAAGCAAAGATAAGGACAGGGTGGGGAAACCCACAATGAAAGACAGAAGTGGGTCAGCAGAGGTGGGGAGGTGGGCAGGGGCAAGAGCAACCAGAGACCCCCCCCCCAGAGCCTCTTTTCCCAAACACATATCTAATTATTTCACTCAAAGGAAAATTCTAGAGAACTAATCCATCTCCCTGTTCAGGAAGTTCCATTGTCTTTCTCAGGTGAGCTGAGATGCTCCAGCCCTCAGACTCACAATCTGACAATGCTGCAGGCAACAGAAGCTGCACATGGGAAGAGCACACAGAGGCTACAAGGCCATTGCTGAACAGCAGCTACTGGTCCTCCCTGTGGGTGGAGGTAGGGCTGGCAGCTGGTAGAGAAGAAGGAAAACATGGTCGTCAGCAAGGACTGGACACCCCCCACACACACACTCCCTACCCCCACCCCACCCTCAGGGCACTGGAATGGAAGCTTTGCTTTATATGGAAACCTCGGTCTGCTTTTGTTCCAAGGTCTCTGGCTCAGGCCATCACAAGCAGCTGCTCTGTGACCAGTGTACCACTGTGAGAAACCTTAGAGCCACCTGGACTTCCACGCCCACTGTGCAGAAAGACAACGGCTGCTGCCTAGAGCCTCGGCTTCTGCATTTGCTCATCATGTCTCTACATCAGCATGAAACCTGTGTGCATCCCTCGTGTGTGTGTGTGTGTGTGTGTGTGTGTGTGTGTGTGTGTGTATTTGTGTGGATGTTACATGCACCAGTGTGTATGTGTGCATGGTCAAGGTCAACATTGAGTATCGTCCTCTCTCACTCCTCACCTTTTTTTTTTTTTTTTTTTTTTTTGGTCTTTTTGAGGAAGGGTTTCCCTGTAGCCCCAGCTGGCCTGGAACTCACTACGTAGACCAGGTTGGCCTCGAACTCACAGAGATCCACCTGCCTCTGCCTCCCAAGTGCTGGGATTATAGGTGTGCGCTACCACGACTGGCACCTTTTTTTTTTTTTTTAAAGACAGGATCTCCCTGTAACCCTGACTGGCCTGGAACTTGCTATTTTATAGACCAGGTTGGTCTCAATCTCACAGACATTCGCCTGCTGGGATTAAAGGCATATGCCAGGGCTAGAGAGATGGCCCAGCGGTTAAGAGCACTGACTGCTCTTGCAGAGGACCCGGGTTCAATTCCCAGCACCCACATGGCAGCTACAAACCATCCTTAACTCCAGTTCCCAGGGAACCTGAAGCCCTCTTCTGATGTCCACAGCATTGCACGACATGGGTGCACTCACATACATGCAGGGGATACATTCATACACATAAAATAAAAATAGTTAAAAAAAAATAGCCTGGCATGTGCCATTGCACCTGGCTTCTTTGCCTTTTTTGTCTTGAGACAGGGTCTTCCTGTAGCCCCAGCTGACCTGGAATTTGCTATGTAGACCAAGCTGGCCTTGAACTCACAGAGATCCGTCTGCCTCTGCCTCCCAAATGTTGGGATTAAAGGCATGTGCCACCATGCCTGGCTTCACCTTATTTTTGAGACTAAGCCTGGAGCATATTCATTGGCTAGACTGACTGGCTGACTAGTTCCAGAGATCTGTTTTTTCCCCTCTACTCTGCCCTGCCCCAGGACTGAGGTTACAGACACACACCACTGAGCCATTGCCCCACCTCCCGTATACTTTTTAAAAATCAACTTCCACAATTGCTCATCTCTTAACTCTGCTGCCTGCCTGCTGATCATTCCAGAATCATATCTCTATGTTTTCATCAGGCAGAGATATACTGTTTGCTATCAGCAGTTTTAAGCAACTGGGACTGTGGCTGTCTGGAGCCTCAAGGTCCTGTTCCTACATATCACATGCCCACCTACCCCTACCCATGCCTGAGCCCAGGGGTCTGGGTTCCAGACAGTCTCTCCCCAGTGCTGATCCCCATGTGGTAAGGGGTACCACGAGACTGTCCTGCTTCTGGTTTCGTGTGTGCACCTGGAGGAAACTATTCCCTTCTTAGTGGGGAACTTGGTAAGCAGGAGCTTAACGGCTTCAAGCAACTGGCATTCACATTAGTTTGGAAAAAGACTGCCTGCATCAATCGTATTTATCAATCTAGACTTTCCTTTCTCTCCTGCAGGTGGAAATGAAGACACAACAGACTTCTATCTATTACCGTGATATGTGAGCAAACAAAAATAGAAGAGAGATGCTGTTGTAAGTAGTCAGGGAGGGACTCTGTATGCCCAGATATTTTAGATTCTAGAAGCTTCTACTGGCTTTCTTCCCACCCCAGGGCCTCATAGGTATGTCAGAAAGCTTTCCTTGGATCAGTGTGGCTGCTGAGACCAGTGCTTCCCACATCTGCTTCACTGTCTCAATGATGCCCTTAGGGAAGAAATGGGGGCAGGGGGAGAGGGGGACCCACGACCACAACACATAGTATTCATAAACTGCATCCATCCCCAAGGGTGGCTCACTTATGAAAACACTCTGGGAAGCCTGGAACTGGTGTCTTGGACTGTGACTGGGCGGGAGAGGCTGGCATCTGCCATCAGCAGTATGATGGCAATAAACAGCTTAGATTCAGGCCAAGCATCCAGGGACACATGTAGCCATTGAAGGCGTGCAGTGACCCACAAAACCCATTACCAGGGTGATTTCTGGGATCTAAGGGTGCCAAGAAGGACAAAGGAGATAAAAAGAGTATTACCCACAGCCCGATGCTGAGAACTGAGCCCCCAAGCCCCTCCACATATGTCTCCATTTCTGCAGCTGTTGTAGGGATAACCTCACAGATGCCATAACCCCACCACCACCACCCCTGGGCCCTGGCTTCTTTCACAGACTTTGATGAATACTAAGTGCAGGGCTTGGACCTGGGGCTGAGCACTGTGGCTGCCAGCATGAAGCAAGGATGGCCTCTCCTCCAAAACTGGAAAGCAACGGGTTGTATCAGATCCAGGGTGCGTTTAGTTTGATCTACCTCATGCTTAAAAAACTGAAGAGGTTTCACTTGAGAATCTGAATTGCTTCCCTCTTCACAAAGTAAGATAGACATGTCAAGCCCCATTCCTATCTGGCCCTGAAGGGGTCAGCTCTGAGCAGTTGCTGCTCAACTTCCCATGGCCCCAGCACCCTACTTTAAGTTCAGCTGGTTCTTGCTACCTCTTCCCTGTTCACCTTGTCCCCATTTTTGAGGTGAACTACCTAAGGTTACACTGGCAAGGTGTCACTGTTACCGACTTGCTGGAGTACCAGGAAGTTTGGGTCTTGGGTGGTTCTTTTTCTTTTTTAAAAATTCTTTTCTAAGTCGGATGTGGTGGCACACGCCTTTAATCCCAGCAGAGGCAGAGGCAGGTAGATCTCTGTGAATTCAAGTCCAGCTTGGTCTACATAGTGAGTTCCAGGCCATCTGGGGCTACAGGGAGACCCTGTCTCAAAAAGACCAAAAAAAAAAAAAAAAAAAATTCTTTTCTTTTTTTTTTAGCTTGAGAATCTTTTATTCTCTTTTCTATTAAAACGACAATTGAAGGTTTTAGTCTTTTAACAAAAAAAATAATATAAAAAACTTACTGTCTAGGTAATCTGCTCAGAAAATATGTGCTGCCGAAGCAAGCACTTCTTTTTTTTTTTTAAAAAAAAAAAGGCTGCGTATGGTGATACATGCCTTTAATCCTAGCACTTAGGAGGCAGAGGCAAGCGGATCTCTGTGAGTTCAAGGCTGGTTTGGTCTACATAGTGAGTTCCAGGCCAGCTGGGATTACAGGGAGACTGTCTCAAAAAGACCAAAAATAATAATAATAATAATAATAACAAAATTTTTTTTTTAATTCTTTTTCGGGGGCTGGAGAAATGGCTCAGTGGTTAAGAGCACTGACTGCTCTTGCAGAGGACCCGGGTTTGATTCCCAGCACCCACATGGCGGCTGCAAACCGTCTTTAAGTCCAGTTCCAGGGTAATCCGAAGCCCTCTTCTGACTGTAGGACCCTGAGACCCTCTTCATTCACCCGCTACCCCGCAATCCCTCCAGACCCCCACTAACTGCTCTTTTAGCTTCTGTAAAATGCTTGGCTGCTGCTTTAGACATGTCTAGATATTCCCTGGCATGCCCTGACACACACACCCCCTGCTATCCCCACCTCCTTCTAGGAAACTATAGATTAAGCAAGCCGGGGCATGAAAACTGCTCTATAAGGTTAAAACGGAGACTCCTGGCCCGACAGATAACAGTCAGCACATTCCACAGCCCTGAGGGTAGCACCCACCAATGAGAGACCTCCAGGACTACATCCCTTGTAACCAATCAATTCAAAAGTGTGTTGGCACGCCCGGGTTCCTTGGACCAATCGAGATATGACTCTATTATTCTCCTCCTCTCTTTGTCTAAAACCTATAAAAGGCTCCACTCTCCCTTACTCTGTGCTCTCAGCATGGATCCGTTGAGTTGATGAGGTCTGAGAGCCCGAGCTTAAGCCTGAATAAACCATAAACCTTTGCTTTTGCATTTTGGTGTGTTGGGTCCTTGGTGGTCTTTTTTGGGTCCAGTGGATGAGGTACAACACTGACCTCCATGACACGGGTGCACTCACATGCAAGCAATACACTCACACACATAAAATAAAGATAATAAATATTAAAATAAATTATTTTTTTTTTAAATTCTTTTTCGAGACAGATCACATACTGCAGCCCAGACTGGCTTCAAACTCGTGGCAATCCTCTTGCCTCAGGCTCCCAAGTGATGGGATTATAGGCAAGTCACCACACCTGGACTCTTGGGTGATTTTTGGTCCAAGAAAAGGATAGGGAATACTTTCAGACCAGCCTAAGTCACTGAATACAGAGCTCTTCTCAGACACTGCCATCCTCAGGTATGACTAATAGAGTCCCCAACATGACTGCCACCTGATTACACACATACCCAAGAAGAAAGTATCCTATGTCTCCTCAACCCCTCCCATACCAAGCTGGACTGGGGCTTGGTTCCCAATACCCTGATACCAAGCTGGCTCTTAAGAATATTTGCTAGGCTGGGCATAGTGGTAAGTGCCTTGAATCTCAAAACTTGGGAGGTAAAATTTAGAGGATCAGGAATTCACAGTCATCCTCTGCTATACAACAAGTTTGAAACTAGCCTGAGCTACACAAGACCCTCTCAAAAACAGCAACAGCCAGGCCTTATAGTACACACCTTTAATCCCAGCACTCAGGATACAAAGGCAGGTGGATCTCTGTGAGTTGGAGGTTAGCCTGGCCTATATAGCAACTTCAAGGCCAGCTGAGGCTACACAGTAAGACCATCTCATAAAAAAGGTTTTTTGTTTGCTTTTTGTTTTTGTTTGTTTATAATTTATCTATTTATTTATTTAATGTATTAGAGTGTTTTACCTCATGTATGTAACTGTACCTGTGTTGTGCAATGCCTGCAGAGGCCAGAAGAAGGTGGTCATTAGCCATCATGTGGGTACTGAGAACCAAACCCCAGTCCTCTACAAGAGCAACCAGTGCTTTGAACTGCAGAGCCATCTCTCCAGCCCCTTGCTTTGTTTTTGAGACAGGGTCTCCCTGTAGCCCCAGTTGGCTTGGAATTCACTATGTAGATCAGTCTGGCTTTGATGTCAGGGAGCTCCGCCTGCCTCTGCCTCCCAAGTGCTAGTATTAAAGGTGTGCACCACCATGCCCGACTTGCTTTGCTTTTGCTATCTCAAATCAGATGTGGTAACATACGCCTATGATTCCAGTACCTTGGGTGGGGGCAGAAGGATCAGGAGTTGAAGGTCTTTCAAAGTTACATAGTGAGCTCAAGGCCAGCCTAAGTTACATGAAACTGTGTAAAAAACTGTCTTAAAAAACCAGAACAATTAAAATTTAAAGTTATCACCATGGGGATGAAAACCTAAGTTCAAGGTGAAAGACATCAGACTCTCTGACACAGGAAAAACTCTTATCAGAAGACTGTAAACCTCCTGAGCTCCCCAAGGATCTCCCTACCGAGAACAAAAAGTCAACTAACACACATCTCAGATGTGTGTACATCCATGGCTTGGAAGGTCCCTAAAGGACCTAAACATTCACCTAGGTTTATGGAATCTAAAATTCAAATCATGGGGAGGCTGATGAGATGGCTCAGTGGTTGGGAGCACTGGCTGCTCTTCCAGAAGACCCAACATGGCAGCCACCAACCTTCCGAATTCCAGTTCCAGGGGATCTGATGCCCTCTTCTGACCTCTGTGGGCATTGCATGATTCAGGCGTACTAACACACATGCAGGCAATACAATCATACACATAAAAAATACAAATAATGTGCTCTTCAGCAGCACATATACTAAAATTGGAACGATACAGAGAAGATTAGCATGGCCCCTGCGCAGGGATGACACGCAAATTTGTGAAGCGTTCCATATTTTTTGGAGCTGTGTGAATCTTTTCTGCTATTCTTTAATATTTTCAATAAATCTGGGGACAACAAAAAAAGATACAGATAATAAATAAAATATTTTTTAAAATAAATAAATAAAATTCAAATCTTGGGTTAGCAAGATGGCTCAGCAGGTAAGCACACTTGCTGCCAAATGATGAGTTTGATTCCTGGAACCTATATGACTAAAGGAGAGAGCCAATGCCTGAAAGCTAACCTCTGACCTCTACATGGTCCCTGTGGGGCACATACAGGGACACAGACACACATACACACACACACACACACACACACACACACACAAAGAGAGAGAGACACACACACAGAGACACACACAAATAAATAAATGTAGAAAAAAAAAATTCAAATCTTTTAGTTTTTCTTACAAAGTAAGAAAAATAGAGATGGGGTAGATTTTCATAAACTTCAAACTTCTGAATTTAAAGCACCACTCTTTCTTTTGAAATGCTTCTGACTGGCCCTACTCATCCACAGCTACTGCTCTATGCATTGAACCAACCATAAGTCAGACACATTCAGCAAAAACAGAGAAACTATCTCTGAACTGAATATATAGACTTTCTTTTCATTCCCTACATAATTTAAGAACTCTTCACATAGCATTTACATAGCATTCCGTATTACAGTGATCTAGATATGGGCTTTGGTATCCACAAAGCACACTAGAACCAGCCTCCTTCACCCGGCTGTAGCTCCCATACGTCTTTCTGAGGTACACAAACCAATTTCTCCTTCAAACTCATCTCAGCAGATACAATGTCCTGTTCCTCTTTCTTCAAGTTGACACTCCTTCCAAAAAGTCTTATTATCAAGAGGTACACAATCCCTGTGGACCTGACCCCTTCACTCCTTACAAGCCTGAGTAGAATGCTTTCACTAATGCAGCCTAAGACTGAAATCCCTGACCCCTAGGTTACTGGACACCTCCATTAGTAATTCAGACTGTAGCCAGCTAAAATTCCTCATTCTATCTCCAAGAAACTACAGGAAGGAGGCCTGTCTTCACTTGGCCCTCGCTACTAGGGGAAGCTCTTGCTCCAGTTTTACAGATGAAAACACTGAGGCAACGGAACCAAATCCCAACTGAGAAGGGTCACTGCTCTTCTGTAGAGCTTGAACCCCAAGTCTGTGGGGTACACTCATCCTCAGTACCTAAGGACCCTGTCACCCTCTCACATGGAAACCTCTAGAGGAAGACCCAGGAAAGGCATTTAAATGTCTCCAGAAGGAACAGGGCCAGAGACTTTCCCAAAGGATGGAGAGGTCTAGCTGGCAGCTTTCTCTCAAGCTTGAGACCTGCTCACCTCAGGGGATACCAGTGGCCCAGGTAACATCAAGGCCCACAGAAGCCTTCAGTGGGTCTCCAACCCTAACTGAGGCCACAGGGAGGTAGGAGGCTGCTCTAAATATGGGAGGAGCTGGTGGTTGACAGTGTCTGAGAACCACACAGGAACCTACCGGAAGGAATGAAAAATGTGTAGCCTTGTTTCAGCTCAATTCTCTGGCATCGTTCCACGCGGTCTCCCAGAAAGATGTCGCTCTGTTTGCCTGACAGCACCCACTCCTCATACAGTGCTAAATTGTGCAGGGTTGGAGGGATCAGCCAAAAGATCTTGGGAAGAAAAAGAGGCAGTAAGGCCAAAGTCTCTGATTTCTTCCAGGCCCCGACAACCCCAAATGAGCCCCACCTACTTGGAGAGAGATGGGGACAAGGGGGACAAATCCCAAGCAGAGCCCAAAGGATCTCTGAAGCAGGGAAGAGAAGGTTCTGGCCACCTTAGAGATCTCTCCATTCCAGCTGAAATACCAAAGCAGGAATACTTCCTGCACTGAGTGGAGCATTTTTTCTCCTGAGCTACAGGCTTGTCTGGGAGGTGGGGGAAGAAGAGGGAATTTCCTAGGCTGTATGATAAAATGGCCCAACAAATAAACTCAGCCTGTGCTCACTATGGAGGAGGAAAAACATCTGGAATCAAGTGGATTGACTTCCTCCCAGAACCTCTTCCAACACAATCATTTAAAGCAAATGTACATGCAGACCCAGGTATGCTGGACACAGATGGGCATTCTCAGGAAGTACTCCCTCCACGTAGGGACACTGCGGATGTATACCCCACTTCCTTTCTCGGGGAACTTCTATCTCCAGTGTGAAATGTTCTTGCTTGGAGGCAGGTGGTGACAGGCAACTAGACTTTGACGATAAAAGATCCAGTGCTAGAGCTGACAGGAACCCTGAAGGATATCATACTAGGCGTTCTTAGTCACCAAACCCAGCTGCAAACTGGCCTAAGGTAGGTAGAATACTAGACTGGGCAAGTAGGGATGCCCTCTAGAAGGGGACTGAGCTAAGAGGTGGCCCAAGGGGACGAAGTAGCCCTGAAAGTACTCATGGGGCAGGGGATGGCTGGGAGGTCTGGGAGGCTGTGAAGAGAGAAAAAGCAAGCCCTTCATGCACAAAAAGCCTGAGATGTACAGAAGATAGAGATTCAACTAGCACTCACCTTCCCACCACGGAAAACATGGTACCACACAGAAGTGCCTCCAAAGTCAATGTGGAAATCAGTGAAACAACCTTTCACACTCATCAGACAGTACCTGCAGCACAGAGCAGGAGTTGGGGAGGAAAAAAACAAGTCAATACCAAATCACCAGAGGCGAGCAAACCCTTTGCTTTGCAGTCGCCTGACCCAGTGCCCTTTTATAAAGGCTGCACAGGGGAATTTCCTCTTCTTTTTTTAAAAATCGAAAACTAAGTGGAGTTTCCCTCCTGGGGGATGCCCCTGTGATCAGGTGACAAATCTCACCAACTCCAGAAGCTCGGGGACAGCATCTTAGTTATCAGGTTCCCAAGAGAACTGGCAACAACAGGCTACCAGTTTTGACCCCTGCCCCATCCCCATCCAACACTAAGGCTTCCTTTCTGCCCCTTGACAGCTGATACCTTCAGTTCTCCCAAGTTGACAGCCAGCTTTGTAACAGCTGGGCCTCCTGAAATTCAGTTGTAAACCACCTACATAGTTTACCAATTCCCAGTCCCCATTCATCTCATTCGTTTAACCAGTGGTCCAGCCCAGGAGTGAGGCATGGCACTGAGAGAAATAGGTAAAACACTAAGATCTCTGCCCTTATGGATGAGACCCTTGTAGTTTAAGCATTGCAGAGAGAAAGTTGACTGGTGCAATGGATCACCAAGCGAGCAATGTGGCTGGAAAGCGCCCCCCACCCTCCTCCAATTTGATTCCTCCTATATGAAATGTCCCAAGTAAGCAAATCAATTGAGGAAGCACACAGATTAGTGGTGGCCAGGGGCGAGAGATTCTGAGTGATACTAATGAGGATGGGGTTTCATCTCGGGTGGTGAAATACTCTAAAATTGATTGTGGTTGCACAACTCTGTGAGCATACTAGAAAACATTGTATTGCACACTTTTCCTGGGTGAATGGTATGTGAATTCTCTCTCGACAGAGCTGTTTATTAAAAAAAAAAAAAAAAAAAAAAGGGAAGGGGTTAAAAGAAGCTCCTGGGAGTACAGACCAGGCAGAGAGGGGTAAAGAACTCCAGCAGCAGAAGATGGGGCGGAGGTTGTCCACCCAAGGGGAGAAGGACCCCGACAGCAGCTCTTCCCTCTCTTCTGAGCACTAGGCAGCAGTAGACAGCCCATCCCTCCTTACAGGTACACACCGATCTCTTCCCTCCTCCCCACAGCATGCTACCGCCCTGTCTCCGGGGGAGTGGACAAAACCTTGAGGAGGAGGGGGCATCGAGCCTCTCAAGTCCAGGCCTGGCAGACCACAGTGCCAGTCCCCCTGCCACTCATCCCTTCCCACACGAACCCCGGAGGGCACGGAGGAGCAATCTCCCCTCCCTCATGCCCATCTTGGAATCTCCAGAGGCCGGCGCACACGCTTACCCTACTGACCTCTTTTCCCTGCTGCACTTTGCTTTTCCGTGGTTTGGGGAAGAGGGATGGAATGGGGCGGGGACCGGCAGGGAGGAGCCGGCAAGCCCGAGTGGAGAGAATGGGGGGCGTGGGGCTGAGCAGGCATGAAAGTGGGAGGTTTCAGGAGCCCCCTCCTGACTGCCTTTTGCACCTCTTGTTCAGGTGGACCCGGCGCTCGGCACTATGCAGGCAGCGTGCCCCGCGTCCCTCCTCCGGATAGGCTGGAAGGAGCCTTAACCATGTGTCTGCAGGAGGCTGACAAATCAGAAGGCCTCCCCGTACATCAGAGCCCCGCTGCCTAGCAACCCTATCGGAGGGGTGTAGTTGACAGTCCAGGACTGTCACGAAGCTAGCACTGGGGCTGCTGAAGTCCTGACTGGGGCTCCACACCCTGCCGGCCTGCACGCTCATGGGCAAGAGCCGCAAGTCCCCCGACTTAAGGCCAGAGAGATCCTCTCTCCAAGGAACTGGGGTGGGGGGGGTCCTGAAGCCCTCACCCACCACACCCCCGTGGAACACACTGGCTTCTTCCGTCTAAGCTCCACTTCAGAATATTAGTCCTCATTTCCCTAAAACCAGCTCTTCCTCTTGGTTTGGATTTTTTTCTTTTTTTAATCTAACCTTGGTTTCTCCCCCTCCAGGCCTCAGCTGAACACAGTCTAGAGAAAACAATTTAAGTGTGTGGGGTGGAGCCAAGAGAACGTGCTTCCTTCAGCCTGCAGCTGGATGCCCACGGAGTACCCATAGCGGGGGGGGGGGGAGGCTGGGTTGCCCAGCTCCAAGCCCCAGGGATGTCTGGCCCAAACTGGTCACTCCTACTTAGCCCATCTTCCAGCCCCCTGCCCCAAGCCCTTCCATGCAAAACTAGGATTCCCTGGCTGTTGTGCGCAGAGAAAGTTCTCCAAAAGAGCCTATGTCTGATCTGCCCTCGGGGGCTCCTTGGGCGCTACGGATGCCACTTCCAAGCCCACCTCTTGTGATGTGACCCCTCCTTTCCTGACCTGGGACATCCCCAGCCCCCACCCCAAGTGCAAGCGTTAGGGAGGCCAAGGTAGCCGTGACAGTGGCTTTGTCTTGACCCCTGCAGCCCGCAGGCCACCCCAGGCTCGTGCCCGCGCTGACTCGGGGCTCCCTGCTCGCTCCTGCTCTCCCTGGCGTGACGCCTTTGCACTGACCTCTACAGCTTCCTCTTCCCAAGCACACCGCAGTCACATGGGCACCCCGGCTCCGTGCCACGGCCGCTAAGCTTTCCCCACCATCAGCCCGCCAGCTAGCTGGGCTTTCGCAACAGCAGGCGGGCGGGACAGCCACGCACGCGACACCCCCCGCACCCCCCGCCAAGTGGTTTCGGAGCACCCTCTAAGTTGGCAGCTGAAAATTGCTGAAAATCCCGGGCCCCCAAGCTAAGTCCTTGAGGGATTCCCGCCTCCAAGGCCAGGGCTGGAGGTGCGCGGCGCGCGTACCAGGGGGCGCTGCACCTGCCGCACCAACTTTGGGGCGCGGCTTGGGGTCTGCGGAGGCTGTGCGGCCACCCTAGCCGTTTTCTCTCCAACTTGCAGAAACTCTCCCGGGGGTGGCCCAGCTGGCGTCCCCTCGGGCAAAGGTCTGATGGAGGCGCCGAGGGGAGCTGGCCCAGGATGGCTGGCTGGAGGCGACGTGCGGGCGGGAAAGCACTCACTCCACGCTTCCACCCACCCCCCGAGACACAAAGAGCAGCTCCGAGACGCTGGCCGCGCGGAGCCTCCCACGCCCGCCCCACGCGGTTACCCTGGGCGGCCGTGGCTCGCGGGCGTCCCCTTCTGAGGAGGCTGGACGCGCGCCTGGCCCTGGCCCCGGCAGCCGAGCACCTGCAACCGCGCACCCAGGCCCAGGCCAGGACGTGGATGGAGCCCGCGCGCCGCCTTCCTTCCTGGGGACACCGGCACCGCCCGCGCTATTCGCGCGCTGTAACTGAACACCGGTGCGGCGCCGAGGCCGCCAGGGAAGTGGAAGGAGGCCGCGCACCCAGCCAGCTCCAGGGGACGCGCCGCCACTGACGGCGGCCCCCTCGCCCCGCTGGGCACAGCTCATGGGTAGCTCGTCCCACCCCACCCCACCCCAAGCTCCCAGGCTTGGGGACCACTGCATCTGGGTTTTCCCGGAGTATGGACGCCATACTGATGTTGGGGTGAGGACCGAGAGAAGCCACCTTCCTTAAATATACACCTTCGGGCACAGCTGGAACGAGGTCCAGAGCTAGTTCTGGGGAGTACCTGATGGACATAAGGCAGCCAAGAAAGGAGGAGTGAAGCTCTCTCTGGCCCTTGGGCAACTTAATTGCCCTCTTGGGGCGACTTCCTGATTCCTAACAGAAGCAGTAACCTAAAGTGCAGCTGGACATTCGAAAGGACTCTAGCTGCATTCGCCGACTTGCCCTTTAGTTAACAACTGTGTAACATGAGGCATAGAAATATTGTGGGGATTCACTGAAACATCCATTAGCTATAAAGTTTACTTGGATTGTTTAATATCAAACTTCACAACACTGTGAGGTAATTCCAGCATTTCAGATGATGAAGCCAAGGTTCAGAGGTACGATCCCTCATCCTAGTCTCTAGCCTTAGGAAGTGGCATGCTTACATATCATTATCTGCCCATGACTCTCGCAGGCTTCCCCAGATCCTCCCGGCAAATCCCAACTCTAACTGTAGAAGTTACCGCCTAAGCTGACTGCCAAAGCTGACTTGCGGCACATAGAGAATGTTTACTCCAAACAGAAGCCCCACCCTTGGAGCTAAAGGCCCTCCATACTCAAACCACAAGAGGGTAGTGAATGGTTGTAAAGCCTCTGCAGGGCAAAAACCAAGCTTCTCTATTTTGGGTCAAACACCATTCTCTGTGAAAGCCGGTCATGCTAAAAGGTTCTAACAAAGTATTGATAGTAATAGTCGTATGAGTCCATTTCACCGACTCTTCCCGCTTGAAACCTAAACACTGAACCCATTTCCAAGTGCTCAATGACCCAGACAGAACTACTCCACACCTTCCAGTGTTCCATTCTGCCCATAAGCTAAGACTCTTAACTGGCTGGATTTTCTTTTTTTCTTTTTTGTTTTTTTTTTGGTCTTTTTGAAACAGTCTCCCTGTAGCCCCAGCTGGCCTGGAATTCACTATGTAGACCAGGCAGGCCTTGAGCTCACAGAAATCCTCCTGCCTCTACCTCCCAAGTGCTGGGACTACAGGTGAGTGCCACCTCTAAAGGAGAAGCAGGGCTGGTGTCATTGCAAAGATGATGACTGAAAATAGACTTGTAAGAAGTGAAGGTGTTAGTTCTGTGAATATCCAGGGGAAGAGAATTTCAGGCGGAGGTAACTAGTATATCCATCCTGAGCCAGAAGTCTGCTTCTCTTACTTGAGGAAAATCTAAGAGGCCAGTGTGGTTGGGTGGAGTTGGGCAAGGAGATAAGAGAATGAGGTCAGGGAGGTTGTGGAGAGGGCAAAGCATTGTGGGCTATGACTAGTGAACTGGAAGCCAACACAGAATCATGAGGCAATGAGTGACACCTGATTCATCTTCAAAGAATCACCTAGCTATTCTTTGGAAAAGGAAGAGTGGCAGAAGCAGTAAAGAAGCCTCATACAGCTGGGCATGGTGGCTCACGCCTTTAATCCCAG